TCCCTCTCCGTGGGAGGAGATTTACAAAATTCGAGAGAACAGGAGGTCAGACTTTGTACTTTCGTATTGCACTTTGTTGTGTGTAGTTCAATGACACGTTGGAGTTCTTAAGAATTATAAATCCTAGCGCACAATTGCGAGATATTTTTTTATTCTAATGCTCGACATAGTTCTTTGCGGATCGACCAAATAAATAAATATATATATATATATATATATATATATATTGAGAAAATAAACTATACTATACTGCATATACAAAAAGATCTTGTTAGCTTTCCTTCTTTCCTCTTGGAGCTCGCGCGACGCGTTCTCAACGCATTAAATAATTTTCGTTATTTCTATCATTAAATAAATTCCCGATAACAATATCAGACAATAGTGTCTCGTACCCAAACGACACAAAAATTGTCTAGACGACGTCATAAAAAGATGGCTAAATAACATCAAAAATTTCGAATGTCTACAAAGTGTCTAATCAACGTCTCCAAAATTTAGGACGTTTCTCTAATAAAGAATATCTAAAAGATGTCTAAAAGGCGCCGAAAATTTTTAAACACCTGAAAGACGGTATCTAAACGATATCTAAAAAAATTTAGGACACCTAAATCTAAACGACGCTTTAAAAAATTTGAGACACCCAGGAAATGCTTGAACGCTGTCTCAAAGATCCAAAAACGTTTGGAAAATATCTAAGTGACATTTGAAAAAATCTTTCGAGAGGACGTTTTCCGCAGCGTCACTCGGACATTTGTGAAGTCTGGGTAATTGTAATCAGCTCGCGCAGATATGGGATTGCTTTTCGAGCTGAACGCAGAATGCAGAGATTTCGGGTCGTCGCGCATTACGTGACATTACAGATTATATCGCCGATTATAGGTCACTATTTGTCGATCGCTATTGGAATTTCCGCTAAGTTGCAGTTTAGATACGGCGGCGCGTCACGGAGCAAAGTCCTCGTCTTCACGCTACACAACGATATCCGCATCAGCCCGTTTATTTTGTTATCGCATAAACGCTTATATACGCCTTATCATCTATTCAAATAGCTTATTTTCCTCCTCGACGTGCGCGTACGCGTGTACGTGCACACGTTTTCTGTATCGAACGGGATGCGCGCGATCTCGCCTTTATGATTCTCTTGTTTTCGCCAATAAGACAAAAATAGAACAACACGGACATGTATATATGTATGTATGTACATACGTCGGGCGCGGGTGCCCATGTACATGCTGTTACATTCGACGATAATGATATCACTGATAACACGTGCGTCATCGGCGCCCAGATTCGACGAAAATCCGTGCGATTTCGACGAATGTATTCGGGAGAGATGAGGTTTTTCTAATCGAAAAACTATCCAGCGAGATAGATACCCAGACAATGTTATAAGTCTAAAATGTGAAGATAAAATATGTCTTAAAGACGTTTTAAAAATTGCTTTATAGACGTCTTTTTAATAATATGATGTCTTGAAACAATCTTTAAGACGTCTTCGAGACGTCTTATGTCCACATTTCGCACATGATATTGTCTTCGGTATCAGCGAAGTATGCACAACAATGCACGCACACGTGTAGGTCATATCAGCCTAGCCATTTACAATTCGTGTTTCGAAAAGTCAAACTAAACATATAATAACAACAGAGATAATATTAGCGAAGCGCACGATAAAAATCACTTCCGACGTCTGCACCCGAGAACTCGCTGCCTGGTTCAACGGGCGTCAGCAGTGCTTCGATACACACGACATGCGTGTTTGTGTGTCATAATTATATTATACAAGCACGGACACAACTTCTCGACTATCGCACGCATGACGTGATCCAATTAATTAATATATCCTCTGTCTTCCCTTCTCCGTGGTGGAATCGGGCATCATATGTACTCTCCATTCTTTTTAGTAATTTGTTAATATATTTCCGTCATGAAAAAAATGAAAATACATCGTCCCTGTAAAAGTGAAATACATTTTTTTTTTTAAGTCATGGCAGTTTACACGATTCGTCGAAAACTGAAATTTGTCTTTTTCCCTTTTTGTTTATACACTGACTTGAAACGTTATTCGAAACCGAGCTGTATTATATAATTTATTTAGGTATTACGAATTATATCTTTTATTTTTTTTTTTACGTCCTAGATAACTCTACGATAAACTGAGTGTGTGTATGTATGTATGTGTATGAAAAACATAGACTATTACATTCTTTTATACCTTAGGTGGGATGCTCTTACCTTACATACTGTAACATTACACACAATGTAACGTATCTTATGTATATTGACCGAATGTTATACAGGGCATATATTTATATATATATATCATAATGAATGTATTCTATTCTACATCGTCGATTACCTCATACATCGTTCAGCTTCATATTAAAACAGATTGCTTTGAAAATCTAACATTTACTTCGTCCAAATACGCCGAAATCGAGTATCCGCGCGGTGAGTTCATTTCCTTTTCTTTCTCTCTTTCTCTTTTCTATGAGCGTAGAAATGTCAATTTTTACCTGCGTTTTTTCCCTTTTTTTTCCCCCTTCCGATGCAAGAATTACTGGCACTGTAGCTATATTTAAAAAACAAGAGGAAAAGAGATAAAGAGAAAAGACAAGTGTATGTACGATAAGAGATCTTCGAAGCAGTCTCGGCATGTGTATATGTACGCGTGTATATTTTCGATACACAATCATGTATATTTAATAATCATCATGTTTTGCTACACGATGGAAATATAATGCAAGTGTATACGGTTTACGTTGTCGTCGTAACTATCATATCGCTGACCGCAGGGATGTGTAGGCACAAACGTGCTCATTATACAATCTCCCGTGTCAATTTCTTGCACACGTAACGCAGGTACACATTTCGGAAAAAAAACTTCAGTCAGTACAAAATCAAGATTACACTTTTAAGATGGATATGGACCGAGCGAACGAACAACAAACGAGAAAATGTGAGGATAAATTTTTTCAAAATTTTCTTTGATGTGCCGTCTTACTTTAATCAGTCCGAACGCGAAGCCAAACGTTAACAAACCATTTTGTTTGCATTCTCTATGATGAATATCTTTGAAACTTTAACAGAGAAAGTTTATCTTTGTTGATCGCTCGCTCGTGTGCATCCACTTTTACAAATACATTCAAGTGATAGTCTAATTTAAAACGAAGATTGTTATATCATGTGTCACTGGGAACTCCGTCATGTACATTTCGGCGTAAAAATATTCAGACGTCGAAATAAAGGGTAGTATAGTGAAAGAGAACAAAAAATGAGGGATAAAAGATAAAAACATTTCTATCATGCATTTCTCGATTGTACGTGTAATAAATGACAACAGAGTTCATAATAAAAACTTACCCTCTTGCGTATGTATATCTCTCGTATATATATGTATTTCTTTTCTGTATCTACATCCTCTTTACACGTGCATATAATATCTTGCTTGATCATGCTTCAATATATATATATACATATATATATATATATATATATGTATATATATATATATATATATACTTCATATGAATATATTAAAAAAAAAATCTATTTCTCCCTTCATATTGTGGCATATAATAATTTGATACACGGACATTCTCGTATATAT